TGCATTGGGGCTGCTCTGAGGTGTGAGGGACCTGCATTGGGGCTGCTCTGAGGTGTGAGGGACCTGCATTGGGGCTGCTCTGAGGTGTGAGGGACCTGCATTGGGGCTGCTCTGAGGTGTGAGGGACCTGCATTGGGGCTGCTCTGAGGTGTGAGGGACCTGCATTGGGGCTGCTCTGAGGTGTGAGGGACCTGCATTGGGGCTGCTCTGAGGTGTGAGGGACATGCATTGGGTCTAATCTGAGGTGTGAGGCGCATGCATTGGGGCTGCTCTGAGGTGTGAGGGACATGCATTGGGTCTAATCTGAGGTGTGAGGCGCATGCATTGGGGCTGCTCTGAGGTGTGAGGGACATGCATTGGGTCTAATCTGAGGTGTGAGGCACATGCATTGGGGTTGCTCTGAGGTGTGAGGGACCTGCATTGGGGCTGCTCTGAGGTGTGAGGGACATGCATTGGGGCTGCTCTGAGGTGTGAGGGACATGCATTGGGTCTAATCTGAGGTGTGAGGCGCATGCATTGGGGCTGCTCTGAGGTGTGAGGGACATGCATTGGGGTTGCTCTGAGGTGTGAGGGACATGCATTGGGGCTGATCCAAGCTGTGAGGCACATGCATTTAGCTGATCCGAGCTGTGAGGCGCATGCATTGGGGGCTGATCCGAGCTGTGAGGCGCATGCATTGGGGGCTGATCCGAGCTGTGAGGTGCATGCATTGGGGCATGGAACAGTCCTGTTGCACAAGGCAAACTGACACTGATCACTAAGATAGGACGTCAAGTGACATCTCCCCCCCCCGGGGGACACAGACTGCAACAAACACTTGACAGAGTCTCTAATCCCCCCAATACAAACCTACTTTACTGCTCAGCCTATTTCTGGGCACTCGGCTGATCGGTGAACGAGGAGACCGCCAATAGGATTACAGCGCTTAGCAGAATAAGATTTTATGTATGAAAGATACAATGAGGGGGAGGGGGAATGTAAAGTGCGGTCACATTGAGGTCTATTGCAATTTTTTTTTTTAAATGTAAACGCTCGGGCTGCAATACTCCCCTGTGACCCGGAGCCGTCCCCAGCACTACCTCTCTCTGGCCACAAGATGTCCTCAGTCCTCTGAGCTGAATGACTCCACTATGGATGCGGCGTGTCACCGCGTCCTTCATATGAGCGGCCCTGAAGTCATCGCGTCACAACTACCAAGCCTGGGGAGGAGGT